ACACATGACATGTCTCGTACGTACGTACGTGCATGAATGTAGCTAGCGTGATTTCAGGTGAATTTTTCTGGGACGTCACGGACGAGACGGTCAGGACTAGGTTGGACAAAATACTCGCGGTTCGCTAACTCGCTTGACTCATGGCCGGTTCAGCTCGGCTCGATTCGACTTGTTTTAACTTTTTCATGAGTTGAGTTGGAAGTATAGCTTGCTATTTTAATGAGCCAGCTCGCGAGCTGCTCACGAGCTGAAACGACCTAAGGCCTATCAGCCTACGGCCATGAATCCAAACAATAATGATGCTGACCTAAAAGTGTACATCAATTCTATTGGTATGTAATACTTATTTTTAGCTGTTTCATATGAATTTTAATTTTATAATTGTTGTGGTACTTAAATGTTGATTTTATGGATTGCTTTTAAGGGAGAAGATGATAATTTTATAATTGTTGTGGTACTTAAATATTGATTTTATGGATTGTTTTCTAGGGAGAAGATGATGATGCTGACATTGAATCTGTGGACTTTCTTAAGTTTGTGGTGGCAAGCAACTAGTTAGTATGCTGTAACTGCATGATCATGTATGGACCAGCTATGTTGCATGGTTGATACTTTTGATGAACCTGATATGTCTCAAGAGTTACATGCACCGTAGATCCATTAACTTTTGGTGGTGTGTCATCTAGGTTCATTAACTTTTAAATTGTATTTTTTTGTCTATTAAATTTTGGTGGTGTGTCATCCAGGTCCATCAACTTTCAAACTGCATTTTTGGGTTCATTAACTTTTGGTGATGTGTTATCCAGGTCCATCAACTTTTAAATTGCATTTTTAGGTCCATAAACTTTTTAACTGGTTCACCGTAGGTCCATACCCCTTCGTTTAGCGAATAGATCTGACATGGCACGTCAAATAAGCAGCCACCATGGAGTAGGTGATGAGTCCATAGCATCTCAAGATATTCATAGAGACTTGTCTAGCAATAATTCAAACGTAGCAGTTGGTAATTCGTTAATATCCTCTGGTCTTAAATTTGGAACTATTATTTTTAAGAAAAAATATATTGTGGACATGAAAAAATTTACAACTGTTAGACTGTCATCAAAGATATTTTATAGAGGTGCCTTATTATTGCGTGGAAAGGAGAAGAAAATAAAGTCAACAAAATACATCAGTACTGATTCTAAAGAGGTGGAGATCATCAATGGAATTTTCCCAATATGATTAGCATCCTTGTCGTAGTATTTTATTATTTCCATGCATTAGTTTCCTATCCAGTTGTGATACACGATCTTTTATCTAGTATCTAGCTTTTAGTGCCTGCGTGCACCTGTGTACGTGAATTAAATTAGTGGCTGCGTTTGGACGTGCCATGCATGTTAGCCGAATCAGGGACTCAGGATCAATCGGTCCTAGTTGGGTTGGTGGAGTCCGAGTTTTGTTTGGGTCAGCTGGCTTGCGTGCCTATACCTGTGGCCTTCTGCCTTGTACCAGGTAGATTAGACTGGATTTTATTGTGAAGTTTATTTCCCGTCGAATCGCCACTCGAGAAACCTAGATGGTGATCCCATCAAGTTCTTCGTATTGAAGATTATCTTCGAATTGTGATCTCATCCTGTACTCCACGGTGGCTGCTTATTTGGCATGCCATGTCAGATCTATTCGCTAAACAAAGAGGTATGGACCTACGGTGAACCAGTTAAAAAGTTTAGAGACCAAAAAATGCAATTTAAAAGTTGATGGACCTGAATGACACACCACCAAAAGTTAATTGACCAAAAAATGCAGTTTGAAACTTGATGGACCTGGATGACACACCATCAAAAGTTAATGGACCCAAAAATACAGTTTAAAAGTTGATGCACCTAGATGACACACCACCAAAAGTTAATGGACCTACGGTGCATTTAACTCAAGTATTAATCATGTATGGTTGCATAATGTTGGACGTCACCTTCTGAAATTAATATAGTATAAACATTATAAACATGTGTGTTCTATTTTTTTTATATCTCGCGAGCTAAATGAGCCAGCTCGAGCTCGGTAACGAGCCAAGCCGAGCTGCCCCTCTAGCTCGTAATATTAACGAGCCGAGCCGAGCTGGCTCGTTAGCCTAACGAGCCAGCTCGAGCTGGACCGAGCCGAGCCGAGCTGCCTCGTTATCCAACCCTAATCAGGATTGTGCAGGGGATGATGCATTTAAATCAGCTAGGAATGAAGCATTGAATCAATGCGTTCAGTTAAGACAGAGGTGGGGTCAAGATGATTGTTTGGGGTTTTGTAAAATTTGAACTTTAGGACAAGTACATTGGTACACGTAAGCAGTCTCATAGGTCGTCTTATGCGATGCCACATTGGATTTTTGATGACGTGGAGAGAGGAAGGTAAGAGAAAGAGGTAGTTGTTTTACGAAACAACCACCTTAAAAACTAAACTTTAGGACTACGAAAAAACATGTATAAGTGGTTCTTGTCATGCAACTCACAAACATTTTCTTGTTGCCTACATAAATTAAGGACCTAGAATTACTACGAGACAACTTAAAATATAGCCTATTATATGTGTTATCTCTTATGTCGTCTTATAATTACGTGGCACTGCATGAGACTACTATCTATGAGACAATACCAATGTACTAATTGATCGTGCAAAACTTGAGGCAACTCTTAATACTAGCACTACATCATTATAAACAAAAAAAAAGAGATTTAGAAGGGTCCTTTTGACAGTGCCCCCAGAGGAGTTTCGAGGCTAGACTCTGGAGGAACTTTGCCAAATACTGAGAAGTGATTCTATCTATGTTGATTCTATGAAGTGTTTATCTGAAATAAACTAAAGGCTGGTAGCTGAAAAAAGTAGTTAATTCTCTAAATAAACTCTTATGCATAAGAGTTTATCTAGAGAATTATAAAAGAAATATTTTCAATCAGTGAATCACTTTTCTCATAGAATCTAGAGCAGAAGGATCTCTACTAAATATACCCTAACTAGTCAACACGAAACATGTATATACAATATAAATTAATTTATTTATATCCACATAAAATAGCATTGACAATGTATGCTAATATATACATATGTGGTCAAGCACCGTAGAAATTTAATTTAGGGCAAAATTAAAACGACCTACATTTTTTAAACGAGTTGAGTATATAGTACCCAATATTCATAGATGCCAAACTAGCTAGGAGATCTAAGATGGTGCTTTTCAGCGGGGTGCTAGCGCCTCGCGGTGACAAGATATGAAGTTTAACATCAGTGATCTAGTAGTTAGCATTGTTTTTGCTGTGCTATCATTTCTCGACCCTTTTGGATCTTATTGTATCTTTGTTGTACTGCCTAATCTTAGTTTTATCTTCATATATAGCTCTCGGTTTGTTTAAAAGTTATATATATATATATATATATATATATATATATATATATATATATATATATATATATATATATATATATATATATATATACTATTGATTAGGATCATGTCCGTGCGTTGCAACGGGAACAAAATAATACCTGGCCATCTCAACATGTGCAGTGCCAGAGTGACAAACGCAATCGTGATCAACAGACACACACAGATCGACAGCCATCGACTATACGCTTTGGAGTGCGAAAAATAATACTGTGATAATTCATTGTTCCAGAAAAACGATATAATTTCAGTAACATTTTATTTAGCCAATCATCATTGTTACATGAAAACCATAATGAGATAAGCATCAATTTTACATTTTGAGCTGAAGAAATTTCAACATGAAGAGCATCAAGAAATTGACATTTTGTCACCAGACACTAAAATCTACTTTATCCTAGCAAAATATTGTTTTGAGCCAACAGCTTAAAGATGAGCATCAATTTTACGTAACAAGGATACTGAAACAAAGATGCAGTACTGAACTTTTTTTAACAATGATGCATAATTGATTTGATACGAAAAGGCTAGGCAAAAGGTCCTGCTCCTTGCCAAATCGTCTCGGGAAAAACCCACTGTAGTCTGTAAATGATAAACATAAATAAGTTGTTGTCTTGTCGATATCTAAAAAGCTAAACAACATGGCTCATTTAATGTCATGAAAAAGGGCAGTACTGGAATAAAATGGCTTGATTATCTTTTCCATTTGGAACTGATGACTCTTTTTTCTTTTTTGCAATTGTACGGACAACTGAATAAAACTGACCGGGCATGATTTCCAATTGTACCGACAACTGAATAAAACTGACCAGACATCTAGTACCATCACAACCTGTTCCACGGACTTGCACGAGGAGCAATTTGTTATAAACAATAGGCAATATAAACGACGAAGAACAGTAGATCAAGCACAGGGGACATGAGATTTTAACGTGGAAAACCCTCCCAAGGTGGAAGGGAAAAAACCGTGGGCACCAGTCAGCAAATCTTCACTATATCGGGTGAGGTTACAAATATCGAGGATTTATAACTTTTCTTATCCCAAGACGACGGCTTACATGAAGTATATATAGATGGAAAACCCTAATAGGTGATGATCCGTACCACAGCCCCCCCCCGCACCCCCAGGCGTCCATGGGTGCGGCGGCGAAACATGATGGGCTAATTTCAGCCTCCGCTTCGCTTCGGCCCAAGCCTCCCGGCGATGGGCCTCGCTTCGCTCCGACAGAAATTAGCCTTTATCTTATACATAACTGAATTTTGATCACAACTCAATAAACTCTACCTTGAGACAAAATTCCTTCTTGTAGCATAAAATGAAACTTTACCCTGAAACAACAAAGAAATACTTCCGGTGCCAAATAGCCTCTTGGGCTAAACAGTTATACCAACTAAGCTTGAGCAAAGCTCAAACTTAGCAACAGAAACTGACTTTGTCAATATATCAACAGGATTATCATGTGTGCTTATCTTGCATACCTTCAGCTTACCTTGCGCGACCACATCGCGAACATAATGGTATTTGATATCAATGTGCTTCGTTCTCTCATGGAACATCTGATCTTTAGTGAGACATATAGCACTTTCACTGTCACAAAATAAATTAATGAAAGAATCATCTCCACAAAGCCCAGCAAACAAATCTTTCAACCAAACTGATTCTTTACATGTTTCAGCAATAGCCATGTATTCTGCTTCAGTGGTAGACAGGGCAACAACGGGCTGCAATGTTGCCCTCCAACTCACAGCACAACCACCAATAGTGAACACATAACCTGTGAGAGATCTCCTCTTATCCAAATCAGTAGCAAAATCTGAATCCACATAGCCAGTGAGTCCCTTATCAGTCCTGCCAAACTTTAAATAAACATTTGTTGTGCCACGAAGGTACCTGAAAATCCACTGAACAACCTTCCAATGTTCTTTATCAGGATTAGCCATATATCTACTAACCAAAGTCATAACATATGATAAATCAGGACAAAAGCAAACCATGGCATACATCAAAGAACCAACAACACTAGAATATGGAACTCTTGACATGTACTCAAAATCCTCATCCGTACTAGCACATTGTAAAGCTGATAATTTGAAATGAGGAGCAATAGGAGTACTAACAGACTTTACATCATGCATGTTGAAACGATGAAGAACTTTCTTAATGTAACTTTGCTGACTAAGAAATAACAAACCAGAATTTCTGTCTCTTGTAATTTCCATACCTAGAATCTTGTTAGCAGCACCAAGATCCTTCATCTCAAACTCACTACTCAACAGTTTCTTCAACGTAGTGATTTCTTTCTTACTCTTGGCAGCAATCAACATATCATCAACATATAACAACAAATATATAGGTGATCCATCAACAAATTTAATGTACACACAGCTATCAAATTCAGACCTCTTAAAACCATGTGACATCATAAAAGAATCAAACATTTTATACCATTGACGAGGAGACTGTTTCAAACCATATAAGGACCTGTTTAATTTGCAAACATGATCCTCCTTACCAGGTACTATGAACCCTTCTGGCTGGTCCATGTATATCTCCTCCTCGAGCTCTTCATGTAGAAACACAATCTTTACATCTAACTGCTCAAGCTCAAGATCTCGCATAGCAACAATACCGAAAAATGTACGAATTGAACTATGCTTTATAACTGGAGAGAACATATCATTATAATCAACGCTAGGAATTTGACTGAAACCTTTTGCTACTAACCTTGTCTTAAATCTTGGAGGCTCACTAGGAGACAAACCCTCCTTTCTTTTAAAGATCCATTTGCAATGAATGACCTTTTTGTGTTTAGGCAAGCACACAACATCCCATGTGTCATTTTTCTCAAGTGACTGCATCTCTTCTTGCATAGCGGCAATCCACTTCTCACGGTCACCAGAAACAACAACTTCAGTGTACGTAGCCGGCTCATGAATGTTCTCAACTTGTTCAGCACAACTAAAGGCATAATGAACAATATCACATTCCTCAATTAAACGTGGACGAGGTCTACAACTCCTCTTTGTTCTACGATCTGCAATAGACTGATTTTGAGGCTGCAAAACAGGAGGTGAGTGCTGAACAATATCATGAACATTGTTATCAACAATTTTAGTTTCCTGATCATCTACGTGCTCCACCTGCACGCTAACATGTTCCTGCTCCTCATCAGAACCAACTGGTGAAACATCTGTGGACAAGCTATCATTAAACATAACAGAATCATTGAAAACAACGTTCCTGCTCATGAATGTCTTTTTAGTTTTAGGATTCCATAACTTATATCCTTTAACTCCATAACCATAACCAAGAAACAGACACTTAATGGCTCTAGGTTCTAGCTTTCCATTATCAACATGAGCATAAGCAGTGCAACCGAAAACTCTCAACTGTGAATAATCAGCAGGCATACCAGACCATACCTCAATCAGAGTTTTCTTATTAAGTGGGATAGAAGGTGACCGGTTGATTGAAAGGACCTAGGATGCCGCCTAGAGTGGGGTGAATAGGCGTTACTGAAAATTAACACCTTTAAATGCGGAAACAATTAGAAAAGAGAGTTTCCAAAATGAAAACTCCAAATTAAGAGTAATACCACCCCTCACAAGTTAGCCACAGAGTAAACAAGGTATAAAGAATATATCTAGAAGCAACAACCCTACAACACAAAGTTAGAACAGAGAATAAATATTTTCAGCACAGGTAGGAAATACCTGACGTGTCCGGCATACACGATTTCTACAGAGAAGCCCCAAACTTGCTCCTTTCGATTTCTATCTTCAAGCCAAACTGTAGGTACCTACTAGAGATGACAATATACACAGAGAACCTGCACAAGAGCTGGAGCAACACAAATATCAAATGAAATGCGAATTGAGACATGATATTTATTTTACTAAAGTTCCTACTCATTTGAGTCCTACTCTCCGTTGAGGGGGCTGTGGGCGACCCAGCGAAGGTCAGCCCTAGAGGGTACCACGAAGGTCACTCTAGCCGGAGTCTTTTCTAACTCATTTTCCTCCTTCCACTAGTTGATTTTGAGGCGGCGGAATCGACCGTTACAAACTTTTCGAGGCACACCACAATCTCTCGGGTGCTCTTCGGCGACGCCTAACCATCTAGGACCAAAGAGTCCAAGAATAACAAATGTGAATCACGAGATTGATAATATGCACAAGTGCTCAAGTGGTTGGATTGCTCTCCTTTTGAATTTCACTCAATACACAATTTGATTTGGCAAATTTGATCAAACACTCACTAAGAGAGGGTTGGGAGAGTTGGCAAAGCTCAAAATATGCTAGAGGATTAGGAAAAACATCCGGAATGCATACCGGACACGTCCGATATGACTTACACTATGCCAACGGTAACAAGGTTATAGTGTCAATGTGAGGCGTCGGAACTCCTGATGAATGTCGGAACTCCCGACCCTCAGCATATTTGAAAACTAAGTAACTGAGTTGAAGTTTGTGAGGTGTCGGAACTCCCGATGCATGTTGGAACTTTCGACCGTCGGAACTCCCGACTCATGTCAAAACTCCCGACCCTCAAGGCATTTGAAAACTAGCCGTTGGCCTCTGGTCGTCCATAGACAGTGAACCATCTAAGTCAGTTAAGCGCGACACGTCGGAACTCCCGACCGTCGGAACTCTCGATGAACCAACCCAAGAACAACAAGAATTTTATCGTTGCTGGGAACATACCGAACACGTCTGGCAGATCAGCAAAACACAGGTTAGCTCTTTTGTCTCTTAAATACTAAAAACTCACATGGGTTGGCTTGAGCACTTATGAAACATTATCTATCAACATGATGCATCCCTCTAAATAGTACGACATTCCTATTTACTCAAATTTAAAAGTATAACGAATTTAAACCTTTTGAGTTGCTCTTTTTGAACCGAAGCCGTGTATTCCAATCTTCATCAAGTGAGGGCGCCAACATGTTGATATTGATCTTTTTCACTAGAGCATAGCCATCTTGAGCACGTGACTTGATTCCATTCATCAAATTTGAATAATCCCAAATGTATCAAGTCACTTCTATCAAACACTCTAATAGTGATTTGATCCTTCACATCAATATGACCATCGTAGCTTGATTAGTACCTCAACTAAATGCAAGTACTTTCTTCTTCACCCTAGCTAGGTTCTTCGGCCACCAAGCCGTCGCTTGCCCTTCACCCTTGCTTAGTACCTCGAAGCCTTTCCTTGCTATCTTCACCATCTCAAGCCATCAAGTCACATCTTGTGTTGAATCATCCATTCATTTGTATTGTTGTCTTTTTCATTTCAATTTAGCAAGCTTCAAATATGAGATCATTCCATATGCAATCCCTTATGTCTCATTAATTAATTCTCACAAGCTTGCTTTTACATAGTACATGGAAATCCCACAATAAACAAGCCTTTGCATGAATTCCATTTGCATTGTTGTCTTGTGCTTGAACTAGATTGTTTATACAACAACACATCATTTTGGCTTTCATTAAGTACCTGTGAGATAACCTATCACCTGTCCACACTTAGCAAACGGGTTAGACCTTTAATCATATTGTCATTCAATCATCCAAAACCCACTAAAGGGCTAGATGCACTTTCAATCTCCCCCTTTTTGGTGATTGATGACAACTTGATTAAAGCTTAAAAAAGAACATAAACATTTAAGATTTGGGTTCAATGATTTATAAGAGGCTTCCCCTTAATATGTGCCTGTGATTGGAATTCACAAAATGACCTCAACTGGTCAATTGCACATACTAAAACATATAGGAGACTCCCCCTAAATCATTGCATCCGTGGGGTGCATGTGTGTGTGTGACAAAATAGAATTGTGATGCATATGACATGATATATCACACAAGAATAAATATAAAGATATCACATCAAATATTTTCATTCTATCATGCATAGACCTTATGAAAAATAAATACAACACATGTATGCCACACATAGCACTCATTACACATTTTCTCTAGTCCACAAGCCACAGATAATAAAGATCATATCTCAATAGATCTATAGATAAAGCATAAGTGAGTCTCATCTCTCACATGATACAATGCAATCTCAAACTCAAGATACATCAATGAAGCTCATGAACAAAAACTATAGCCTGCAGTACATATCTTCAGGTACAAAGATAAGCAAATGAAACAAAAATCCTAAAGCTTTAATCAGTCTCTCTCCCCCTTTGTCATCTATCACCACAAAGGTCCAACAATGACAAACTAAGGACAAAAGGGGCTGCAAGCTGTATATGATCTCTGGCGTCACTCAGCATCATCATCATCATCTCTCTCAGCATCTTCGTCATCTGAATGTGTGACACCAGCTGGACGAGAACCACCTGCGCCGGACAGGTCATAGCCACTAGACCCGTAGTAGCTGCCACCACCTGTGAGGTTACTCCACCAATCTGTAGCATACTCGTCTACAGTACTAGGACGTGGCTGAGAGTGAGTAGGCACACGAGCCTGAAGTGGAAGAGTGTCAGGGTGCTCTGGTGCCTGCTGCTGCTGCTGCTGTCGCTGAATGAACTCAACATACTCTCTATCATATCTGGCCTACTGCTGCTCCTCAGTCTCAGGCTCACTAGCTGCCTCATCTGATAGAGGAGATCTAGGAGGATCAAGCTCAAGATTAGAAGCAATTTGCTTCAAAGTCCGAGTGTCCTTCCTCCTATTAACTCAAATTTAAAAGTATAACAAATTTAAACCTTTTGAGTTGATCTCTTTCAACCAAAGCCATGTATTCCAATTTTCATTAAGTGAGGGTGCCAACATGTCAACTTTGATCTTTTTACTTGAGCATAGCCATCTTGAGCACGTGACTTGATTCCATTCATCAAATTCTTGAATAATCCCAAATGTATCAAGTCACTTCCATCAAACACTCCAATAGTGATTTGATCCTTCACATTAACATGACCATCATAGCTTGATTAGTACCTCAACTAAATACAAGTACTTCCTTCTTCACCCTAGCTAGGTTCTTCAGCCGCCAAGCCGTCGCTTGCCCTTCACCCTTGCTTAGTACCTCGAAGCCTTTCCTTGCTATCTTCACCATCTCAAGCCATCAAGTCACATCTTGTGTTGAATCATCCATTCATTTGTATTGTTATCTTTTTTATTTAAATTTAGCAAGCTTTAAATTTGAGACCATTCCATATGCAATCCCTCATGTCTCATTAATTAATTCTTATGAGCTTGCTTTCACACAGTACATGGAAATCCAACAATAAATAAGCCTTTGCATGAATTCCATTTGCATTATTGTCTTGTGCTTCAACTAGATTGTTTATACAACAACACATCATTTTGGCTTTTATTAAGTACCTATGAGATAACCTATTATCTGTCCACACTTAGCAAACGGGTTAGACCTTTAATCACGTTGTCATTCAATCATCCAAAACCCACAAAAGGGCTAGATGCACTTTCATTGATCAAGTAACAGGCGGTATTAGCAGCCTCAGCCCAAAAACGCCTGTTCATACGAGCATTGGACAGCATGCAACGAGCCCTCGAGATGATGGTTCAGTTCATGCGCTCAGCCACACCATTCTATTGAGGAGTGTACGGGATGGTGTGGTGCCTGACAATGCCTTCTTCCCTGTTGTAATCATTAAAAGCATCCGAACAGAATTCACCGCCCTTGTCAGTACGAAGCAATTTTACCTTCTTTTCAGTTTGCCTTTCTATCATAACTTTCCACTCTTTAAAAGCAGCAAAAGTATCATATTTATTTTTCAAAAAGTAAGGCCACACTTTTCTAGAGTAATCATCAATAATGGTAAGCATGTAACGAGCACCACCATAAGAGGGCTTACGAGACGGCCCCATAAATCAGCATGTACATAATCAAGTGTACCTTTGGTGGTATGAACAGATACATTGAATTTTACCCTCTTGTGCTTACCAAAAACAGAGTGCTCATAGAACTTTATCTTACCTACAGTGCAGCCATCTAGCAGGTCTCTCTTGATCAATTCTGCCATACCAAGTTCACTCATATGCCCAAGACGCATATGGCAGAGATTAGTTTTATTTGGTTCATCATTAGAAACAGTAGCAGCAGTGACAGAACCATGTAAAGTACTTCCTCTAAGAACATATAACTTTGTAGAATTCATATCACCTATCATATGAATAAGAGAGCCTTTTGATACCTTGCACACTCCACCTAAACCAGAGTGTCTGTACCCCTCGGCATCAAGTGTGCTGAGGGAGATGAGATTTCTGTCCATCCCTGGTATATGTCTCATATCTTTCAGTGTGCGTATCATGCCATCATGCATCTTGATCTGAATGGAGCCAATGCCCATGATCTCATGTGGGTTGTTATCTCCCATACGCACGACATCTCCACTCTACACAGACTTGTAAGAACTGAACTAATCTCTGTTAGAGCATATATGAAATGAGCATGTAGAATCAAGTATCCATTCATCACGACCAGCAACACAACCAACAAAAACAACCAGAACATCTCCTGAATCAGAATTATCAACAGCGGAGACAACAGAGGCCTTACCATCACCATCGGATTTATTTCTCGGTTTATACGTATCGTTTCTTTTCTCCTTATTCTGCAGCTTCCAACAATCCTCAATGACATGAGTATCTTTCTTACAATACCTGTAAAACTTATCCCTGCCTCTAGACTTCGAACGGCCTTTACCGTTCTTGCTCTTGTCTCGATTATTGTTGTTGTTGTAGGTTTTCTGCTCGGGCCTGTCTCTAACCTGCAACACTTCACCCTTGGAGGACGACACATCAGACTGAACCATACCTTTCATCTTCTCCCTTGTCTGGAGGGCCTCATATACTTCCGCAAGGGTTAGTTCATCACGGCTTAATAGTATGGTATCTCAGAAATTTGCAAACAAAGTAGGTAGTGAGCATAACAGTAGAAGAGCTAAATCTTCATCATCATATTTTACCTCCATCGACACTAGGTCGGCAACGATCTCCTTAAAGATCGATAAGTGGTTCATCACCGAACCACCTTCTTGCAGCTTGTGCGTGAACAACTTCATCTTCATGTGCATCTTACTAGTTAGATCCTTGGACATGCTGATCGATTCCAGCTTGAGCCAAAGTTCTATGGCAGTTTTCTCCTACAGCACTTCTTGCAAAATATCATTATGTAGATGAAGTTAAATCAGAGACAGAGCCTTACGATCCTTTCGCTTCTCTTCAGCAGTCCATGACTTCTGCCCTTTTCCTCCGAAGCCGTCCAGAGCCTCATCAAGATCCAAAGATTGTGCCAGAATCGCCCGCATCTTGACTTGCCATAGTGCAAATCTCATCTTGTAATCTAGCAGCGGTAGATCAAACTTCATCGATGCCATCACGAAACCCTAAGGTCAAACCAAGCTCTGGTACCACTTGTTATAAACGATAGACAATATAAACGACAAAGAACAATAGATCAAGCATAGGGGACACGAGATTTTAACATGGAAAACCCTCCCAAGGTGGAAGAAAAAAAACCACGGGCACTAGCCAGCAAATCTTCACTATATCGGGTGAGGTTACAAACGTTGGGGATTTACAACTTTTTTATCCTAAGACGACGGCTTACATGAAGTATATATAAATGGAAAACCCTAATAGGTGACGATCCGGCCCAAGCCTCCCAGCGATGGGCCTCGCTTTGCTCCGGCAGAAATTAGCCTTTATCTTGTACATAACTGAATTTGGATCACAACTCAACACAATTGAGGGGGAGGGGACGGATATACTAGTAGATACTTGAGGTTTGCGGTGGACACGTCTTCCTTGGTCTCGTTGCGAGAGAAGAGGCCGAGCTTGCTAACCATGTCGTCGCAGCGCCGTAACAGATCAACCCCGTGCGGATCCCGTCCTACGCGGCAAAAAAAACCAAGCACATAAGCACCGCTCGCCCGATCTCTATCTCTTGGTGAGCGGGAGGAGGGGCGGGGGCGATCCCAGTTCCCAGAAGAGGGGGGTGGGGGAGGGGGGAGGGTGTAGGCACCTGGTCGAGGGCGGAGCTGGAGGCCAAGGCGTGGAGCCGTGATGCCCTGTCGAAGAGGACCAGCAGGGGGAGGTCAGCGGCGTCATCCTCTGGCTCAGCGTGCAGGCACATCTGCGATTGCATCTTGCTCCCAACCTCCTCCACATCCACCATTTTGACCAGTCGGACGGTTGCCTTGCGGAGCCGGAAGCAAGCGAGCAAGCGAGCGAGCGAGCGAGAGGTCGGCAACAAAACCCTAGCGGAGCGGGGCAGAGGAGAGCCACGGGGAGGAGAGGGAATAGAGGAGAGAGCTCCAAAAGCCTCGTCGTGGGGAGGACGCTGGACGCAGAGATGGAAATATATCTTTTATTTTATTAGCGAGTTTTGTTTCCTTTCTTTTGAGCTAATCGCATGGAGCGAGTGCGCGTTGCCTTACTGATCTGATCGCATGGAGCGGCTTTGGTGTCGCACCTGTAGACGAAATAGTTATGAATGTTTTAGTTGTAGAGAGAGATATATGTGACCAAATTTTGTCATCATAAGAAAAGGTGTGCACCTAGAAAAGGGCAAAAGTAATCTTGGGTCTTATTGTCGGGCCAACCTGTTTCTTCTGTCACGTCTGCTGGATGGGGGCATGGGCCGACTGCGTGGACGGAAGGCGAGCGGCATTGCCATGCGCTCTGATCGGCCCGGCATCTCTCGGCCCGCTCTCTTGATGTTGATGTTGATGGGGTAGTGAGTTCTTGGAGGCGGGAGCTCGTGCGATGGGCAACGGCTTTGGGCCTCCAGTCCAGTGCGCGAGGGCGAGGCCCGCCAGCTGGCCAGGAATGGAATAGCATCCGCTCCCTCTGTGCGCTTGTGCCTCTAACCACACGATGACACGATGGAACAAGACACGACTCCACGGACGACATGCTCTGCCCTCCTCACACACAGTAGTAGTACTACTGCTTCTACTTGACAGGTGACCAAACTGACAATCATGGTGGCGTTGTTGCAGGCCTTACTTACGTTGAGAATCGGCCTATTTACATATTGCCAAATCTGTTTTCGCATTTCCAACACTACTACACAAAATATTTTGTGAGGTATTTCCAAATTGACCTTCGAAGCGGTTGGGCTGGATGCCCGCCTCGGTTATTCGTGGCCGGACAGTCGACCCAGCAACCGTCTCGGTTAATCATTAACAGAGGCGGGCAACCTAGCGTGCTCACCTTGGTTAATATAGATTAACTGAGACGGTCATCCAAACGCAACCGCCTCGGTAAATCATTATCCGAGGCGGGCATCCAAACGCAACCGCCTCGGTAAATCAGGCCTAACCCGCAAGCCCACACCAGCCCACTATCATCTCGAATATATAAACGAAATCAGAAACCCTAAAATCACTACCTCATTCTCACCCCTCTCTCTTTCACTCACTCCCGTGTGGCGCCCCTCTCCCGTGCGAGCAGCGCGGCGCCCTCCCTCTCTCACACGGCGTGGCTCTCTTTCTCTCCCTCTCGTGGGGAGCATGGAAGCCAGTGGCGTGGTGCCCTCTCTCCCGTGCGTGCGGCACAGCTCTCTCTCTCTCCCTCCCTCTTGCGCGATGCTCTCTCTCTCCCTCTCGTGCGGATCACGGCAGCCGACGGCAGGCCCCCTAACTCTCTCGCGCGGAGCACGGGGGCCGGCGGCGAGACGCGCCCGCATGGAGCTGGCGGCCCGGCGGCGGCCTCGCTCGTGCGGATCTGGTGGCCAGCGGCAGCTGTCTTCTCCTCGGATCTAGCGGCCCGGCTGCGGCCGGCGCCCGCGTGGATCTAGCCGTCCTCATCAGATCTCGTGGGCGGCGCTACGGTGGTGGTTGGATCTCGTCGGCGGCTCCACCTCCAGCACCTACAATGGCTCCTCCACCTCTTCGTCAGCTCCGGTGTTGGAAGGCCAGATCTGGCGAACGATGGAGGCGGCGGTCCGTGGATGGGCTCGGCGGGTTTATCCATGGGTTTTCTTTTTTTTCTTTATGCGATTTACCGAGGCGGGCATCCAACCGCCTCGGAAAAGGTCTCATTTACCGTGACCTTTGGTCCGAGGCGGTTGCGATGCCCGCCTCGGTTAATCATTTTTGCTCGCCTCGTTCAAGTTTTATGTAGTATTGTAATCTCAAGAGAAGAAATGTGTAGAAGTTATAGATTGATCTTGTCTTCCTTGTCTAATCCTCAAGAGCAACACATAAGAACACGCATGAGACACGTATACGAGGGGAGTCGTCTCTTCATTAGTCCATATAGGTGTACATGTAGTCCTTTATATAGATGTAGCCTTCAGGCTATACATGGTAGCCTCCACGGCATATATGATATGAGTCAATTAATGTTCTAATTGGGGAATTGCTATCACTTCCCCTTTGGCGATTACAATGACAAATACATGCCCCATTAAAACTCCAAAGACCCAATGGAAAAACATGAAGAAATAGTACATTATTGTCACTTAATGCATTTGCACATTGTTGCCTCATTAAAAGCCTTATACGAGAAATTCCAAGAAAATTCACCAAGAAAAAAGAGAACAACATATGTCTTCAAAACAAATTATGACCTTCTAGATCATATCATTTTGAACTCTCTAAAATTCAGAACAAGTGCTAATATTCTAGGGAAGTGCTCCCCTTGAACCGTGTAGAAGTGTTCCACTATGTCAAGAACGTTTTCTATAGGAATCGTATGCACATAAAGTCTTAACGAGTATATTGCGTACATTGCAAGGAGCATTTCATAATCTTAACCTCATCTTACTTCTAGAACCCATGAGGTGAAACTATGAAAAAGTAGACCTAAACAATAAGCCTTCTTTCAAAAAGGGTGTCATGATAGAGCCTTCAACACAGTTAAGAATCCACCATTTTGAATAACACTGTCGGTGTTTTGGACCGGGGGGTCCTCAACCAACCAATAAAAGTGAACTGCGTGCCGGATGGTGATGCAAAGAGACACAAGGTTTATACTGGTTCAGACAATTGGTGCCCTACGTCCAGTCTGAGAGATCGGTCTTGTATTCCTTGCACCGAAGTGCTTGTAGTAGGGGGTTACAAGCTGGGTGAGAGAGGGAGCTAGTCCTAGGTCTCGGCGTGGGACGGTGTGAGGTGCTTGAGACACTGCTCTCAAGCAGCTTGGGAGCGTTGATGCTATAGGATGTGTCTAGGGCGCATATGGGAGTGCGGTTCTATTGTATGTTCTTCTTTTTCTCCCCCCCCCCCGAGCTATTCCTGGCCGCTTCCTTTTATAACCGCAAGGAAGGAGCCAGGAGTACATGAGTGAGCTACACGTGGAGCCTACTGCAGTTTAGTCCTGTAGCAGCATGGCATTGGGAATGGAGATCGGTACTTGTCCGGCGCGCCGTGCTGGCTAGGTTTGAGGTGGTTGAGGTCGTGGGGGTCCTTGTCGATGTCTAGTCAGTATGACTTCCACGGCCGGAGATATGCCATGCTTTGGTGGACTCTTGACCTGGTGGAGTGCCGAGGCCTGGCAGGTTGTAGCTAACCACACCGAGGCCTGATTTGCCGAGGCCCTGGAGGGTGTTTGTAGCTGACCGCGCCGAGGCCTGATTTGTCGAGGCCCTGGAGGGAGCAGTTGGGCCTATGCACTGATTTCGAGGCTATAGTGACCCGGTTTAGGTGGAAAAGTGCCGGGCAGGGTAACCCCTGCATCGTCAGTAGGGGATGGTAAAAAGGAGATTTGACCGCCGTCCCATCGCCCCTGTTGCTATACCCTGCCAATCGTGGCTGACGTAGTGGGTGCATTCAGGCGCATTAAATGGATGGGACAGCCTGCCAGGGGGATGGTTGAGGCGGAGGCGATGAGGATGTGGGACGAGCCCAGCCTCGGCCGAGGCGGAGAAGGAACAGTACGTCCGAGGCCCTGCCGGGGGGTCTCGGACGAGGCGAAGAACGAGTAGTTGGGCTCTCCTGCTGTTGCTGAGACTACAGGGACCTAGACTTGACCTTCCACGCCGCTTTGTCCTTGGCGTAGGGGTTAGGTAGCACAAGGCAGTATGGGTGTCAGTAGGGAGCACAGTGATGAGCACAGCGGCAGGTAACCCCTGCTACGCCTGGTCCCCTATCCCATCGGTTGTTCTGCCCGTACTGTACCCACATGCGGCTGACGTTTGCGGGAGTAGTTGGGTGCATTAATCCGGACGTGACATTTTATCAGAGGAGTTCGGTCGGGACAAAGGTTACGAGTTTGTTTTGCTGAGCCCGGCCTCGAACGAATCGGAGAATTGGCATCCCGTCCGAGGCCTTTCGGGGCGGGGCCTCGGCGAGAGGGCCTCGGCGGGGTGGGGAGCTTTTGGTCTTTCGCCTGAGGCCTCGGCGCAAGGCCTCGGGCGAATCGGAGAATCTGCTGAGACCTCGCGGTTTGATTTTCACAAGGTTTAAGCAATATTTTTGGTTCTTGCTTAGGGTACCTCTTCTTGTGGTATCCGATAGTAGCCCCTGAGCCTCGGGAGGAGTGTGGGCACTCTCCTGAGGTTTTGTCGAGACTTGGCTCGCAACAGCTCCTGTTTGGGATTTTGTTTTGTACTTGGTGGTTCCAGTGGGTGCGCGCGAGTGCACCCGCCGGGTGTAGCCCCCGAGGCCCTAGAGGAGTGGGTTTACTCCTCCAGGGGCTTTTTTCTCCGTTTGAGCAAAGAGTTTTATCGTGTTCGCCGGGCCCATGAGTGCGAGTTCGGGTCGCTGGGACTTAGCCTAGTGCAGGAAGAACCCCCGAACCTCCGCACGGAGCGAGAGGGCGATCAACGATTTCCCTGTCTTCTTTGATGGCCCTCACGCATCCTTTTCGCTCGGAAGGAGGGGTTCGTTTGCTGAGCCCCCTCGGGTGCAAGCCTAGGTCGCTGGGTCTCAGCAAGGTTTGCAGGGAGAGCCCCCGAGTCTCCGCACGGAGGGAGAGGGCGGTCAGGAGTTCCCCTGGATTTTTATGCGACCCTCGCGCATCCTTTTCGCTCGGAAGGAGGGGGTTGTTTGCCGAGCCCCCTCGGGTGCGAGCCTAGGTTGCTGGGTCTCGGCAAGGTTTGCAGGGAGAGCCCCCGAGCCTCCGCACGGAGTGGGAGGGCGGTCAGGAGTTCCCCTGGCTTTTTATGCGACCCTCGCGCATCCTTTTCGCTTGGAAGGAGGGGTGGAATGTGCCAGGCTACCCTCGGTG